CGAAGGTCTTCAGGTACCTCTTTGCCCCTGTAACCCAAAGGAACAGTATTCCCTGGCTCAGCTGAGATGTTCTGAGAGAATATGAGATGATGATTAGAGGCTGAAATGTGATAGGCTGTATAAGTATCTTCTGTAATAGAAATAAATAAGTGGGAATTTATTTTCTAGTCACTCAAAAAGTCAATATTTACAATGGGTTTTCTGATTTTTTTCAATAATTTATCAAAATTTCAATGAACTTGCTCTTCTCCCTTGCCCCCTGTTTTTCAAGAAAGAAGTTGAAACTTTTCAAAAAAACTCTAATTATAAAATGATTTAAGAATCAGAGCCTGCTCATCAAGCTGAGTATTGAAGTCAAAGCAGCAAAACTAAAGAACAGTTGAGCCTTAAGCTCTGATTCTGCTTTTTCTAAGTTCCTTCGTTTCTGAACTCAATCAAGAGTTGAGGCCGTTCTAGAAGGTTTATAAATGCTGATCCTGAAAGATCTTTATTGATAACCAATGCAAAGATCTTTTTAATATCCTTGAGGGAACCATAAAGCAATCTCATCAGCTAAAAGCACAATAAGTTGCTTGTTTTTTCCCAGCATTTCCCTGATGTGTCAGTGATGAGCTGTCCATGCTCACGGCCAGAACTTAAAAATTCATGAAATATGAATAGAGTTATTGGAACACAGAACTAAATATGTTCCCAACTTTGAAGATAAAAGTGGAGAAAGTTACTTTTGTGCATTGGCTGTTCCCATAGTGGGGGAAAGTGAAGGCTGGAGATAAAGGGTTCACTCCTTGATGGTAAACATGTGCCTAAAGTACTGTCAAAAATGACAGAGAGAGCAGACAATGTGCCATCAACTTCTTAATATCAGCTTCTGAAAACAAAAGATAGCTTTTGTTGCAAACATTTACTCATTTCTCCAGCCCAGGCCTCCCATGGCCAAGGGATGGAGGGCACAGAGGAATTCAGGGATGTTGGTGACCCTTGCAGGGAGAAAACACAGTGGGAAAACCAAGGAAGGAGCCCATGGACAATGTGGAGGCTAAAATTCACCTCCCTGATGGAGACTGGACTTTCTCAGAGGTGGTTTTGGGCAGCAAAGTAACAAAGTGAAGCTGAATAATCAGGAATTCCTAAGAGTCTGAGGGAGAAAAGGGAAGATGAGCAACTCCTGAGCACTGGCTGCAAACAAAGAAATAACCCAGTGTCACTAACAACACCCCAGCCAGAACTCTAAGATTTGGAGGAAACAACTCATGGCTTTAAGTTGAACCTTTTGGGGAGGGGGAAGTTTATTTTTTTGGGTTTTTTCCTCGTGCAGATCACGGCTTTCATACAGGGATTTAGTCACAGATTTATGCAATTCAAGCAAATTTACCTAAAAGACCCAAACATCTGGTGGAGCTGAGGGAAGGCACCTTTGCCCTGTGCCCTGGAGAACACAGAGCACTGGCACTGGCTCCAGTAAGTAGCAAAAGCTATTTTTTCCTGCCTGTTTTACATCTCCCAGAATGTGAGGAGAGTCTGCCCTAGATATGTCATGGTATCATGCCACCATCAGATACTTGCAAAGTGATCAGGCTGAGATAACTTCTGGAAATCAAGTTATTCTTGTGTTTTTAAGTCTTCTTGTAACTGGCAGCTTGTGTTGGCTGTATTTTAAGGAGCAGAGATTCGAGCTAAAGCATTACTATGTCATTAACCAATCCATTGAATATTCATGATTTAGGGGATTTTTTTTCTCCCCACAGAAGGAAAGAAGTAATTATTTTGGCTAGCACTTGAAAAGTGTGTGTGTGCTGTTCATAGAACTCCACTGGAATGGGCAAAAATAGAATTTTTCTATTAGACATGCAAACTGATCTTCTCTCCCCGATACTGAGAAATATCCTTTGGTTCTTCTTCTGTATTTAGTAACAATGTTTCGTGCCTTTTTTCGGTAGGAATGTAGTGAAAATGGAAGAAAATGAGAAAAAAAAAAAGAAGATAAAAAGCCCAGGCCCTCCAGTGGAGGCTGAGCTAGTCCTTGGTTGAACCCTGACTTGAGAGTGGGGTCTCGATGAACCTTTTCATGTTTGTAGCAGAGGTGCAAAACTACAGTTTGTATTTGCTATTGAAGTTTAGTTCAGTCCTGTGGTGGTGCAAAGCTCAAAGGAAATTCATGCTCCAGGGCACGTGGGGAGCTGCTCTGGGGACTTTGATGCCACAAAGCACAACTTTGTCAGGTGTCCTGCAGCCTGACCCTGTCGGTGTCCATCCTCAGGACAGGACACGAGCGAATGGCCTCGAGTTGTGCCAGGGGAGGTTCAGGTTGGATATCTGGAAAATTTTCTTCTCTGAAAGGATTGTTAAGCACTGGCACAGCTGCCCAGAGCTGGGGTGGAGTCCCCATCCCTAGAAGTGTTCAGAGACATGTGGATGTGGCACTTGAGGTAGTGAATATGGTGGTGCTGGGTTGATGATCTTGGAGGTCTTTTCCAACCTTTTTCATTCTGTGATTCTCTGATCCAGGGGACTTTTTGATCCTCACTGTGTGTTGTGTGAAGTGCTCTGCTCTCCCCCATGTCGCTTTGGGGGAGATGTTTGGCTCTCCCTTAACGGGAAGAAAAGCAGCAACAAAAACAGGCACCTGGGGAGGTGTTTGAACTTAATCCTCCCAGACAGGGCAGGGGGATATTATGTGTATTTTTAATTTTTAGCTCTCATGGTGTTTCCCACACAGCATATTTTTTCCTTGCATTTTTTTGTGCCTATTCCTTTTCTCCTGCCTCGCTGCCCTCCCTGGGCCCACACACACTCACAGTGCCAGGTGTCCTGTGGCTGTCACCCTAAAAAGAGTTGTGGCTTTCTCCCTCCCTCCCTGCTTCCTTTGGGGACTTAGTTCTGCTCCTTTCTTGGAGAAAGTAGGGGCAAAATACTTCCCTTGTCCTTCAGCAAGGAGCTGCTTCAAGTTCTTGTATTCTTTTTTCTTTTAAGATCCTGAGGAGTATTATTTTTTTTTTTGCAATAGGATCATATGTAATAGCCATGTGCCAAATGTCTTTAAATCCAGCTTTTTCCAAGCTACTTCATAATTAAAATAGATCTTGCTGTTTCTGTGCAATGCACCAACCTGACTTCAGTGGGAGCACTGGGTAATGAAGGACAACAGGAATGGGTGTCCAGCCCAGGCTGCTTCAGAATAAGCAGCAGGCAGTTTTCTGTTTGCACAAATATTTCTGCTCCTGACAGTTCAGGCCATGTGGTTTCCCTTTTTGGTAAACTGCTCTGCAAAGCTGAGGTGGTGTTTGTTTATTTGTTTAATAAAAAGTGCTCTTATTGATGTAGAGAAAACATCCCAGTTGTCAGCTCTGGAAACAAAACTTGTGCTTACCATGTGCCAAACACCCCCGAAGAACCCCCAAAGCTGCAGGTGTTGGGCTAAGCTTCTCCTCAGTGCCAGCCAAAAGCTGGTTTTCAGCAATTTGTAAGGTATTTCCAGCTTCATGTCACCCAGACCATTCACATCTTTTTACCTTCTTAGCAGAATAATGAAGCTGAGTGTGGATGATGGACTGACCACGGTATTTTAGGGTCTGACTACGAGTTATGTGCCTGTTACTCTTCTCCAGGCTTGTAGCAGGGTCCTGGCTCTGAATGTAGAAGCCATAAAAGACTTCATGTGCAGCTAGGACTAAATTAAAGCTCCAAATCCTCCAAAGCAATTTTAGGTTTGTTTCCATGGTATTGATTTTTTTATTTTAATTTTTTGTTTTGTTTTGTTTTTAATTATGGCTCGGGGGTGAACGGGGTTATTCTTACCTTTTGAAAAGTTGCCTTGTAGGATACAATGACTCAAGGTTGCTTGAATTTTTAATCCGTGTTGGTGTCATCTCTCTGAAAAGCGGGGTTAAACTGTGGCACGTGGATAGAGCCGGGAACAGCGGGGTTGATGGGGTTGTTCAGTGCGGGCTGTGCTCTCGGGAGAATATTCACCATTCTGGCATTAATGGATGTGAATTCTAGTGTATAATGTTTTTATCACTCCACCTCGTGTTAGTGTTCGAGGAACAGCCCATCCTCGCTCACCGCGGCGGGGACAGCTCCAACGCCGGTCCCTGGCGCCGACACAGCGCGTCTGGGGAGCGGGATGCTCCCGTTGTGATGCCGTGCCTGTTACAGAAGGCCGGGGCTCCAAGGGGGAGGATGAGGCTCCAAGGGCGAGAGTAGGGCTCCAAGGGCGAGGGTAAGGCTCCAGGGGAGAGGGCAGGGCTTCCATGCGGGAGAGCCGGGGCGCAGAGTTCGGGAGCGGACCCCGCACCGGCCTGGGGGGCTCAAACTTTCAGCGACACGGACGAGCCCGAGCGCGTCACCGCCGCCGGCCCCGCCGCGACCCGCGGGAGCCCCGCGCCCCCCGCCCCGCAGCCGGCGCGGGGGCGATGGCGATGCCGATGGCGATGCCGATGGCGATGCCGATGGCGATGCCGATGCCCGGCCGAGCTGCGGGGGAAGCGGGGGCGGCCCCCGGGCCGGGCTCGGGCCTCCATCGCGGGCTGTGCGGGGGCTGTGCGGGGGCTGTGCCGCAGCCACGGGCCCCGCGCGGGGGCGGGGGCTCTTCATCCCTCTCCTCCTCCCCCTCCCCGCGCTCCCCCCGGAGCGGGCGGCGGGGGATGCCCCGCGCCCCCCCCGCGGCGGAGGCGGGAGAGAGAGAGAGAGGAGGCAGGCTCGG